TGAAGTTGGAAGTCTATAGAGATGAAAGTTAAAGTTGCTTGAAGAAGAACAATAGGACTTCTCACGTTCTCAAGTTAGCTGGAGGTGGGGCTTTATGGCGAGATTTCTGAGTATCAAATAGGGACCAATTTAACCTCTCCTAGAATCTATAGAACTTGGAGGGAAGGAAATTATTAGAAGGTCCTGGGCTTAATTATTTTTTATACAACCAAGCGTGGCATTTCAGGACGGAGACTCCCCTTTCATAATTGAGGCTGAGATGGGAGGAAGAAGGAGGACAGTGAATATTTTGGGGTAAGAGTTGAATTAGACAGGTGCCTATATCCTTTATAAAGCTGTCCTTGGCCACACAAAGACCACAGAAAGCTCTTCATCCACTCAGTTCGTTTATGAAGGCTGCCTTCCAGCTCATTTCTATGTAATGTCCTGACCACCCAACAGTTTTATAAGCATCTTGAGGGCAGAGATGATGTATAATGTTCTACAGTGTATATTAGGATTATTGTCTAATTTCTTTTAAGGTCCAGAAGTAGGATCAAGGGTCAATTCTTCCACATAAATGATCCGAGTTTTAACTTGAACACTGTAATTCTGCTGACGTTGGATACTCCCTGGAGGGGCCCTGTGGAATTAGACAAGAGAAAGAATTCCCAGTGGCCATGTCAGCCTCCAATATCACCTCAACTCATCCGGCAGTCTTCTTTTTGATGGGGATCCCTGGCCTGGAGCACTTGCATATCTGGATATCCATTCCCTTTTGCTCAGCCTATACACTGGCCCTTCTTGGCAACTGCACCCTCCTCTTCATCATTCAGGCCGATACAGCCCTCCACGAGCCCATGTACTTCTTTCTGGCCATGTTGGCAGCCATCGACCTGGTCCTCTCATCTACAGCACTTCCCAAAATGCTGGCTGTTTTTTGGTTCAGACATCGAGAGATCAACTTCTATGCCTGTCTGGTCCAGATGTTCTTTCTCCACTCCTTCTCTATCATGGAGTCGGCAGTGCTGCTGGCCATGGCCTTTGACCGCTATGTGGCCATCTGCAAGCCACTGCACTACACCACAGTCCTGACTGGGCCCCTTATCACCAAGATTGGCATGGCTGCTGTGACTCGGGCTGTGACACTAGTGACTCCAGTCCCCTTTCTGCTCAGATGCTTCCACTACTGCCGAGGCCCTGTGATTGCCCACTGCTATTGTGAGCACATGGCCGTGGTGAGGCTGGCCTGTGGGGACACTCGCTTCAATAGTATCTATGGCATTGCTGTGGCCATGTTTATAGTGGTGTTGGACCTGCTGTTTGTTGTCCTGTCTTACGTCTTCATCCTTCGTGCAGTTCTGCAGCTTGCCTCTCAGGAGGCCCGCTACAAGGCCTGTGGGACTTGTGTGTCCCACATAGGTGCCATTTTAGCCTTTTACACACCTGTGGTCATCTCCTCGGTCATGCACCGTGTAGCTCGCCGGGCTGCCCCACATGTACACATTCTCCTTGCCAATTTCTATCTGCTCTTCCCACCCATGGTCAATCCCTTCATCTATGGGGTCAAGACCAAGCAGATTCGTGAGCGAGTCTTAGGACTATTCCTGAGAAAGGATGTGTAAGTGGACAGTGAGGGACAGGTGGAGAGAGAGTGGGACAGACTGAATGCTGGAGTGGGGGTGAGGGGATGATAGTCAGTAGAGGGCTCCAGAGTTGCCTTGTGTTTAGTTAGTTTATAAGCAAGCATGTGCGTGCGTGTGCACACACACACACACATAGAAATAATGTTCTACGTTTAGTTCCTATATGGTCAAAACCTTTTGCTTGTTTGTTTTGAGTATAATTGGGATAGATGGAAACCTTAAAAATAATAGTAAATACTAAAACACATAAACATAGAGTGTAGCATGCCTTAAAAGAAGCTGTTTCCAAAACAAACATCTGCTTATCTTTATTCTTACACAAGGAATGTCACCAGCCAATAAGTCACATATCACTCATAAAGAAGGAATGGCTTTGCTTCCAGTACGAGTCCAATATTATAAGGCTCACCTAGCCGGATGATACCTCCAACACCAGAGCAACCATGATTAGTCACAAACATGAAAGGAAATTTTGTTACCTGATGTATTCACTCATTTGAGTTTAGCATTCCAACAAAGCATGAACACATGCAGCCCATAGGCACAAAATTTTCCCATCACACAGCGAATATGAAATTAGGAAACCTGGTGCTGTAGTCTGGGCCTAGTGACAACACTTCCAGTCACCTAACGAGGACTTCCCAGCATCCTAAATGAGGGTGCAGGGCTGCATGCCATCCCTGAAGTAGCAGGGACAGTGCTTAAGTGTAGGACCCAGTTCAGCTCAGTGATCCCACAACTGCTTCCTTCCTGCCACTCAAAAGTCTTGTGTTACCTTTGCATCTCTTCTCGCTCACACTCTGTATCTAATCTGATAAGAAATCCCACTGGCACATTTTACAAACACAC